TTCTAGATTCCCCTGATTTTTTTCCTTTCTGAAAAAATATTCCCAAGTTAAACAACCCATAAAAATGATGAATTAGATGATAACCTAAAACTTGTGACTTGATTTTATCACAAATTCATACTTCGATGATTTAAAGTATGAAAAGCGTAAATTAACAATCTTGCAAAATAAAAACCACAAAAGGAAATAACTAGATGGTTAAGGAAGTTAAAGAAAAAGTTACAGATTTTGTTTTTTTTTTTTGGGTGCACAGCTATCTTATAGATTTAAATGCACAACAAACAATAAACCTGGGAATAGATATCAAGGTTCCCCTCAAGGTAATAAGTTTAACCTTTAGAAAAACAGATTAAGCAATCTACAATCACTTCACTTTACGCAAAATAGTTTAACTTACATCATATTGATAATTCTTTGCTGCAAATCAGGCTGTCAGTGGGTTCTCCAATCAACTGTGTCCATGGTGGGCTCTCCGTTAGGAGCACTAGGCCTCCGGTTGTTGATATGCATTATATTTTGAAAAAAACTCCTACATAGAGAAGACTATCAGATCCTAAATTTAAACCATATTTGGAGGGAAAATTCTTCAGTTGAAAACAAATTCAGTATAATCTCAAGTTATAGAATTCGATTGAATTAATCAAAGTTGAACAATTCAAACAGAACTAAGAGGAAAGTCTAAGACAGCCATAAAAACAATCTTGCCATATAACACCAGAAAACAAACAACAAAACCCAACCAAAAGAAAATGGAAAAAGCAAAAATGCTTCGGCTGGGTAGCTCTGTACTCACCTTTCTAGATGCTGCTTAACTATTTTAACCTTAAATCCCTCGCATTCTTAACATTCTCACTTCAGCTTCTCTTCTCGATGTGCGGATGAAGGGCGTTCGGGTCTGCCTGCGGGTGGTAAAGATGTTGATGAAAGGAAATAGATCTAGGGTTTTCATGCTAGAGAGGGGATTCGAGAATCGAAAACACGATTTTCCTCTTCCATGATCGATGACGGAAGACCAGATTTTAGAAGACTGAATCAAATACAGGAGGAAATAGATTGGCCTAAACACTGCAAAAACATGGGAAAGCGAAAAGATCTAAAAGCCATATTCCAAGAGAGAAAAGGAGAGACAAAGCATCAAGGGCAAAATAGAGAAAACAGTCTCTGTGAATAACCGCCAAATTTGTTTAGTAGCAAAATAACCAAAATGCCATTCGTAACGGATGAAACGGAGAAAGAAACGTTGGAGGGCAAAATTGAAAGCAAAAACATTGTGAGATGGGGGGAGGCTACGGTAGCAATTGTGAGGGTAGGTCTTCATCTCATTAACTATTTTGATTTGATTGATTGCCCCCAACGCAACAAAAAATTACACACACTATTACAACTTCTTCCGTATTCCTTTGAAGGACAAAGTGGGAAATTAAGGGAGGGTGAGAAAAAGAGTATTTGTAAGAGAAAAGAAGAGGCTGGGTAATAAGGTGAGAGAAAGGAGGAAGAAGATAGTGAAGAGTGACAGAAACGAGCAAGGACTCCACTTTCTTATTTTTTTAGATTTCTGAATTTATCCAATAAAGATTGCAATTAACTTGCGGAAAAAGATTATTTATTTTTTTCTGAATTTTCCACAAGTTATTATGAACCCTTGAATTTCCCTATGAAGTCGAACCACTTATTGCCATGTTCGCAAGTTTTAAGCTTTTCCACAAGCTTTTCTGTCCAAACAAATGGCCAAAAGAAAGAGCAGTACGGCAAAATGCACCACTAATTGGCCAAAAGTGCGCTGAGTATAATAATAAAAAAGTGTTTTTTTTAAACTTATGTCTTAGTTCACAT